CAGTCCTGCTCCAGCGTCGTCTCCGATGGTTCGGACACACAGCTCGACGCCCGGAGGGAGAGCTCATCGGCGATGTACTTCTCCCTCCTTCTCTTCCTGGCTAGCGAAAACGTGTCTGTGGACAGCTGAGGGCGTGGGCTAGCACAATCAAGGGTGACCTAGCAGTACTATCGGGTCCACAAGTAGTTGGTCTTCGACGATGGAATCGCGATTGGCTCGCCATTTCGTGTGACCTGGCTCAGGATCAGCGAACGTGGGCAGCGATGGTCCGTGATGCTGTACTTGCTCGGGAGAAAGCCAGTTCAATCCGACCAGGGTGAAAACCGATACAAGTCAAGTCATAAGAAATGAGATATTACAGAATAGTCCTTAGCATCTCCTATTTATACGGCATTACAAATAACACAGTGCAGGACATCATCAAACAAGTGTCTGTCTTGTTGGACGTCCTCAGATCCATAAAGAAGTGTAGACACGTCAGAAGAGCCAAAGTCCTTTCGCCTGCCCCTACAAGGTACGATCTTAAGCAGAAGAAAAAAGAAGCAGATTGAGAAAAATGGAGTTGAAACGTCACCGAGTGTATTAGAAGATCACTTACAGAGACTCGGACATTGGCGGGGGTTGGCCAGGTTCTGAGATGTGCGGCGACCCCCCGCCCCCGGTTATGTGACATGTGATGATGTTGATGATTAATTTATGGTCAGTAAGAAAAAAAAAAAGATTGTGTTGCGAAAATCTTTTAAATGAGTAAGAACTGGCTCACTGCAAACTAACCATTCGAAATTCAGGCTTTTACCCAAGAGAAATATTTTCAGTATCTCTGTCAGATTGAAGATGAATAGATATATATCGTGTGTGTAAAAGATTCCCCTTTTCAAGGTAGTTTTCTCTTGTGCATTCAGTCTTAAGGAAAAAAAGGAACTACAGGAAAACGTATAATTACAATCGGAAAGAGTAAAATAAAATTGCTAGAACATCTCTATCTATAAAAGGCAGGGTGCGTGTGTGTGTGGGGGGGTGTAACGAATGCACGACCGCAATTTTCGACGGATTTGCACCAAAATTTACATGCCCTTGCTCCAAGTGAGCGGGAAGGCCAAGACCGACTTTGCATTTCCCAACTCCCATCAATAGTGGAAATAATCGATTTTTTCATGCTTCTACGGCAGTTTTCATGTAGTTTGCGGCCATTTTCTACTGGCCGGAGTGAGAGCCTATAGCTGGCTGCCACGAATAGGCAGGAAGATTCTACTGGCCAGCCTGAGAGCCAACAGCTGACTGACACGAATGTTAACTAGCATGCTAGCATACAAGATAATCGATAGATGCATTCGTTACAAGTGGGAAAAAATTAAATCTGCATGGCACTTTACTCCAATTGACTCATTCGCTTGCTTAAACTCAACGTTGATTCTGATTCCGCAGAACTGGGTTGGGTGTGAAAAAGTATTTGTTGTTAACATTCTTTTTTCATTCGTTTTTTGCAGTTACGAGTCCTTTTTTTAAAGCTGATCGTTTTGTTTTTCATTTTTGTTTAGTTCTTTAAAAATTCGCACTGTGAGAAAGGCAAGAAGTAAGGCATGTAGCAACATCAGCACGGCAAAGGGCACTCCTTTAAAGGCAAGGAAGGACAAAAATATTTTAAGTCAAGTGATAGCGATTGCTGTATGATTCGTACGATTTTTGAATCAAGCACGGGCAACGCCGGGCCATGCTGCTAGTCTAATTATAAAAGAAGGCCTAAGAAAGGCACGAGAGGCAGTGGGAAAGAGCGAATACACAGGGATGGTAATGGATAAAAAATGACTTAGAACAACAAAATACATGAAGTCGTCAAGCCATATATTCAAGAGACATGACACGTTAAAGAATGTTCCGTCTATAGTCTTCAAAACTTTAGCATCGTGTAGCAAAAAGCGAGTTCAGTGAATACACGAAACTAGAAAGAGGCGTAAGGATATCTTGGACCGACGGTGTGAGCAACGACGAGTTCTTAGGTTACAAACAAGGAGGAGACTTATACTTAACATCAGGGAGAGGCAGCTGAAGTTTCTGGGACACATAATGAGGAAGGAAGGTCTGGGGAATCTGATACTCACGGATCGAATACAGGGGAAGAGAGACAAAGGAAAACAGCGCGTCACATACCTGAGCAGTTGGATGACAGAACGTGGTCTGGGGGAGGAAGCAGAGGGAAGGAGCTTGCTGAGAGCTGTAAAGGATAGAGGGAGGTGGAGAGACATGATCGCTCACGTCCTGAAAGGACATATCGCATAAAAAGAAAGAAAGCACAAGGCGGGAATATTGAGGGGTCCGAGAGGCGAGAACTCGCAGCAGTAGTGAATAGCCTTCGAGATGAATAATTCAAATTTCAGGTCATATTTCTTTTATCAAGGTCAACTTAATTTACTAACAAGTACAGGATAGTGGTGAGCGTCCGTTGAGGTTAAAACTCTACTTGAATTAAGACTTCGAGATGAGCTTGCTAATTCTGTCTCTCTGGTAGGCACCCGGCAGAAAGATAAATAATAAAAGTGATGAGAAGAAAAAGAAGAAGAAGAAGAAGAAGAAGAAGAAGAAGAAGAAGAAGAAGCTTTTAGGAGACGGTGGGGAAATGAAAAAAAAATATTATGAAAGTGAAGCGTTGAAGGCGGATAAATGCGGGAGGAATTCGAGCAGAAATTAAGGATAGAATAAGCAGATCAAAGGAATGATGGAATAAAAAGTAAACAAGAATAAGTATATAAAAAATATTCCGCTATACAAAAGGAACGTCAACTCAAATCGCAGTTACATACAATAACGATTAGTCATTTTTCCAGTGGACATAACTTTCGCGTTTCGCTGACTCACAAAAGTAGACACACTGACGCCTACTGTAGCGTAATGGTTAGCAAGCGAGTTTCACTCCGTAATTTGGCAGTTCGATCTCAACTCAGTACTAAATACGATAGACTTGCGCTAGATTAAGCGAAACTTTTGTAAAAAAAAAAAAAAAAAAAAAACCTCCTAAAGAAGATAATAAAATTGATGGTTCCATGTCCCTCAGATAAAATGTTAAAATTATATTTTAGGGCTAAAAAAAGAATTTTGCTCAATGTTATAAAAAGTACATTAAGTGGTAAAGCATTTACCAGTTGGGAGATCTGTATGAGCGACGTGATTTCGAATGGCAGCTAAGGTTGTTGGTGTTCACATAGCAAACATATCCATGGGAAAGGCATGGGCCTTTCATTTCGATAAATATGAGAAGACTGTAATAGGAATCGAAAGGCATTACTATGGAAATTGCGAGCTGGTTGGATAGATAGAAGCTTAATTATTTAGATAGATAGATAAATACATAGATAGATATGAACAGACGAGATATAGATATGTAGAGGAGATAGATAGATAGATAGATAGATAGATAGATAGATAGATAGATAGATAGATATGAACAAGCGATAGAGAGATAGATAGATATGTTCAATATATAGATAGATGCGAGCTGACGATAGATAGATAGATAGATAGATAGATAGATAGATATGAACAAGCGATAGATAGATAGATAGATAGATAGATAGATAGATAGATAGATAGATAGATAGATAGATATGTTCAGTATATAGATAGATGCGAACGGACGATAGATAGATAGATAGATAGATAGATAGATAGATATGAACAGGATATAGATAGATATGAATGGGCGATAGATAGATAGATAGATAGATAGATAGATAGATAGATAGAAAGATAGATAGATAGATAGATATGAACAAACGTTAGATAGATAAATATATAGATAGATATGAGCAGGCGATATATATATATATATATATATATATATATATATATATATATATATAGAGAGAGAGAGAGAGAGAGAGAGAGAGAGGGGAGAGAGATATGTATTAAATGGTTGTGTGAGGTCGCATAACAGACATTGGTAAATAAAAAGGAATCGGCAAAAAAGTTTTGAATTTCGCTTTGAGTCTTTTTAGATTAACTCGGCACTATATCTCTGAGAAAGGCATGAATCTATATTTCCCTTTTATTCTAAATACGCACTAAATTATCGTGTGATGGAATGCAAGATTTTTCAACAGGGTAACAGATTCGAAAAATTGCGAAATCCGCTTGAGACTGCTTAGATACATTAGGCATTAATACAATTGGGAAAGGCATGAATCCAGTTGCTCCTGCATTTCAGATTTATACTATATGAGTGTTCGAGATCGCATAACTGCTATCAGTAGCGATAACGAAATCAGCAAATCATGTTCGAATTTAGGTTGAGGTTTCTAGTGTTTGATTGTCCCTTGAGAAAGGCATGAATCAGACTCTCTTTATTTAAGATATGTTCTAAATTGTACAATATCACAATGATTTTCACCCTATACAAGGCCCAAGAGCCACTGGAGTTAGAGGTATACAGAATAAGAGATAGAGTTTATGCGTATATGACGGAAAGATAACGGTTAACCCTAGACTTGAACAGATTAAAAATATAGTGATCGAGGAAGCATCCTCTTGGTAATGGTTACCCCAAAGCAGTGGTTCGTAAGAAGGCTATGCTCAAGTAGAACTGCTCGAAAGGAGCTTACATTACACCACAGGAACAAAGAATCGAATGAGACTTCTTCGCTATAATATGTATGATATTGCAGGTTTTAGCCCTGAATACAACAAGTGGAAGAACCTCGGAATAAGGAAAAATTAAAATTGAGCTTCTTTATTTGGTGATGGAATGACTTCAAGAGATTTTTTTGCAATTCGCCCCAAGCAAGGCAGAAGTGCCACTAGCACGCAAGGGGGTTACAGAGAGTGAGAGTAAGAGTAAAGGGGAGTGAAAAGGATAAAGAGAAGGACAGAGATCAAGGTCAAGGCATCAGAAGATGTCGATTGACATTACAGTTGAATATTTGAGGATTATAGCTATCAGGGAAGCAAGTGATAGGAAGGGAGTTCCTCTGACGGAAGGTGCCAAATAAGAAGCTATTGGAGTAGAAGAGATGGTAGCCCGCTTAAATTCTATCTATCTATCTATCTATCTATCTATCTATCTATCTATCTATCTATCTCTTCCTATTTCGATCTATCTATCTATCTATCTATCTATCTATCTATCTATCTATCTATCTATCTATCTATCTCTTCCTATTCCGATCTATCTATCTATCTATCTATCTATCTATCTATCTATCTATCTATCTATCTATCTATCTAATTCAACTTCTATATATCTGTATTCAGATGTTTGACTAAAAATACTCTGTCCATATCTATCTATCTATCTATCTATCTATCTATCCTGCGCCTCCGGAGTAGGCAAGGAGTCGGTCAGTTGTTCAAGTCAGTCAGTCAGTAGTTCAAGTCGAGTCAAGATTTGAGTCAGAGGCAGTCCGAAACAGAGTCGCGTTCAGACAATTACTGCAAGACATTGGAATAGTGATACTGGTCGAGGCTACATTGTTCGCTCTACTAAACCTGATTGTTCATACTAACACTTCTACTTCTCTGTATATATTCCTGTTTGTAATATATCTGTGTTATTCCATTCCTGTGTTCGAGTTCTTTATTGGTTCTACCTCGGACTATCACCGTGGTACAAGGAACCGGACCATAACACTATCTATATAAGAACCGTTGAATTTCTACAGGGTTACATTTTTAATTAGGGATTGTGAACAGATTGATATTGAGAAGACCCACATATATATGGAAGGACAGATATGGAGCGAGGAAGGACTGCACGATCATTGCGTGATCATTCCTGTTATCTTACCAAAAGATTCCCGTATCTGTTTAAAATCACACGTTCTTTTATCGAATTATTTATTTCTTTGAGAAATCTTTTTCACGCCATTTGATATGCACCAGTTCAGGACATGGTGCTGTGATGGATAGAGGGTGCATTGCAGGCCACAGCCAATTGACCACTTTAAACACTTCACATGTACTGTTTTTGCAGTAAATCATAGAATTTACTAAAATCTCACCAGTCGTGCTCGACAGGATGATCTAATCATGTATATAAACAATTAGTTAATTAAAATTTAATTCCAATTAAATCCAGATTGCCGTTTATTCCGTTGAATGAAGTGCTCAATACCCTGAGAGGATAGATTTCAAACGGAGTAATGTTCCGTTATTTTTAGATCTCATTTAAACGTGACAAGAAGACGTGTAACTGAAGGGTTTCACGGCAACAATCGAGCACGCGATAAAATAATGAGACGCTTAAAATTCAGCTTAGTTTAGTGCTACGTACATCGTTATATATATATATATATATATATATATATATATATATATATATATATATATATATATATATATATATATATATATATATAGATATATGTGTATATATATATTTATATACATATTATTTGCTATGAAATATATATATATATATATATATATATATATATATATATAAAGAAATGGACAAAGTCCGACAATTTATTTATTAAAGACATTCCGTATAGGATGCAGGTTCGAATCCTGTCAAAGGACGAATATTTTCTATGAAAATTTCTCGACATTCAGGCCGGTAAATGTTATTTAATACTGCTTATTATAAACAGAACATTTACTTAAATACTTGTATCTATAAAAAAGAACGTTAAATATAAATATATATATATATATATATATATATATATATTGATTTATACACATATATTATTTACCGTGAAAGGTTTTTTTTTACGCAAATATACGCTACGTATTAAATAAAACCTCAAAAACGTAACTAACTAACTAACTAACTAACTATCCAATCTATCTCAGCCTATTACTTATCTGTCATATATATATATATATATATATATATATATAATGAAAGGGTTTAAGTCCGAAAATTATTTAATATATTTTCTGTTTATACATTATTTATATAGATATAATTGATTTAAATAAATTCACTGTTTTTAATCAAACTGTATAAATTACATTGACCGACTTGAATATTAAAGAAATCTCGAAGAAAATATGCGTTCTCTGACTGGAATCGCACTTTCATTTCTATACGGAATCCCTCATATGATCTGACGTGCTATACCATTTAGCTACGTCAAAGAATCTGCTTAACATACGTTTCATGAGCAGATATGAGCCATCGAAAAAAATACTCGAAGTTTGTGTTTTTAAAAACAGTAATTTTGACTTTGCTAGCCATACGTTTTAAGGTATGCTAAATTTATGGGATAAAGTGCTCAATATCAGTGATAGAGCGTATGTAAATATAAAATATAAAATGTGGCCTGACGATTGAGTTTATCATGAAACCATCTGTCGCCTCTGAGTTGATTACACTGTTCACTTTTATATTATATATATATATGTGTGTGAGGGTTTGTGTGTCTTATTTCCTGCTCAATATACGGAAGAAAAATCCACAAATAATTATAATCTCAAAAATCTTAAAAAATGTAGACTCAGAATTCGACAGTCTAAGTCCGTAACAGTCACCGAGGAAAATTACTTGTCTAAACTTAATCTAAAATTTATCAACACCACATCTAAAAGAATAAGAATTAGAGTTAGTGAGGGACAGATTGTATCAACACCACATCTAAAAGAATAAGAATTAGAGTTAGTGAGGGAATAGATTGTAGAAAATGTCAAAAGATGTCCATCGTCGAAAAATCAAGAAATCCAACAAAACGACATTATGAATATCGTAGAGAGTTTTAGTATAACACAATTTTTGCTTTCATTTAAACTTCAAGATGCAGACTCCAACAGACGTCATTGAATCGCGTAACTTACGAGCTTTCCACTTTGTCTCATCGTCCTTACTTTTGTTATTATACAACCTACACACACACACATTTGTATATATATATATATATATATATATATATATATATATATAAAGTGAACATTGAAGTCAACACTCAGAGGCGACATGCTGTTTCATGCTGGATGCAATAGTCAGGCCATGTGTCCTGAGGATTGTGCCTAGCATGAAACAGCCGCTCGCCTCTGAGTGTTGACTTCAATGTTCATTTTTATATTACATAGGCTCTACGTCTGATATTGAGTACTTTATCACATAAATATAGTACACCTTAAACAATATTTCTTCATATATATATATATATATATATATATATATATATATATATATATATATTCACATTTATAGCATATGCATGTTATAAGATCGCTGCAAAAGTAAATCACTTAATAAGACACCAGAAGTGTTGAAGCAAAATTGTAGTGATTTTATACCATGTATGCATTTGAATAAATATTATTAGCTCTACTCGGCATTGAGCACTCTTTTAAGAATAGAGTTTTTGGTTATTGAAATTTATTCCATGTGTACCAACCCCTGCATTTTGTATATATATATATATATATATATATATATATATATATATATATATATATATATATATATATATATTGTGCTTGTGTTTACTAGTATTTTTGAATGGAGTTTGGTAGGTTTGTGTGTGTTTAAATGGGTTCTAATAGAGCTCTGGTCAGATAGTAACTAAATTACCGTGGTACCTTGGATGTCGTTTTTTTTTTAAATGAAACATGCATATATATATATATATATATATATATATATAGTTATACTCGCATGGAAAAACCTTTGGTATTCTGGCTTATAATTTAACAAACCAATGCCCAAGGGAAAATAAGGGATAAAAAAAGAAAGAACTAAGAACATGTAATTGAGGCGAAAACAGTCGTCCAGAATCTAAGCTCAGAGTCTAAACCAAAAAACCTCCAAAACGATTAAAGCAAAAGTAACTACGTCAAGTGCTCAATACACTAAGTAGAGCAAACCTAGATATGGATTTGAAGAGCCAAGTAAATTACTAGGTTTCACCTACACGGATCGTCAGGGTAATCTGGCTTATCCTAACGATCCGTGTAGGTGAAACGTACGTAGGTTTACTTGGCTCTTTAGGTTATATATATATATATATATATATATATATATATGAATGTGTATTTGTGCGGAAACGAATATATATATATACTACTATGTATCAATAACACAGCTGTTAACTAAATTTTCATTTGAGAATTTCACTAAATAATTTTTCGACACTTTTCAAAATATAATCTAATGACCAGATATAAGAATTCATTTGTTGCTTTCTACTTGTTCTAGCCTGGAACTATTTACCATCCTATTCGTGTTTTTCTAATCCTTACATTTCCGCTAGTATAGTCTTTATTTATTCATATGACGCTCACTAGAATAAGAGACTTTCACAAACAGCATGAGCTTGATGAAACCAAGTTCTCATTTATCATCATACAACCACTGTTATAAGTTCTACTGAACTTTTTTTTTGTAGGTTATAAATCTTCCTTCAAGTATCTCTACGCCATTTCCCGCCCTTCGGTCCCTTTTTGATGAGCACCACCGACGCATTCTTGAGAGATTTTCACAGCTGACATGATCATCATTGGTTCCATTATTTCGAGACATAAGCCACTCAGTAGCTCAAACCGACTTAATCATAATGCATTCCATAGGTCTTCTCCGCTGATCACAACGCGAGGACTGGACGTGAACTAACAACATTTCTTTCAAGCCGGCACGTTATCGTGTCCAGCATCACTTCCCGTACAAGCACCCTTTCTACCTATCGCCCTGGCCACTCCATTACCTCACCACCATCAGCACTTTCCCGCCGCATCAACGTCCTTCAGTGGCATCTACCATTACGACTCCACCGTCTCTTCCATTTATACCATAAGTGAGCTCTTGTCTATCGGCTATAATGGCAGCAGTCTCGCGTTTCTTTTGTTTTAACGTCAAAGCAACACAGGTCCAGCTTAATGCTTGCGAATGAATGCATTTGCAGAGCAGGCGTATAGAAAGAGAAAGGAAGCATTGAGAGATAGAGAGGCAGAGAGAGAGAGAGAGAGAGAGAGGCAGAGAGAGAGAGAAATGGAGGGCATCAGTGGAAGAGAAAGAGAGAACCAAATTGCAGCGGATATAGATAAAAAAAAAAAGAGGAGAGCAGCTAAAGAGAAAGAATGTGATAGAAAGAAGTGGTGAGAGGGGGAGAAAGAGAGAAGAAAAGAAAGAAAAACATAAAAGATCGGAGAGATAGAGAGACTGGAAGAGAGAGAATGGTAAAGATAGAGAAGACTAAGGATAGAAAGAGCAATCGATGGAAAGGTCATGGGAGAGAAAGAAAGAATGAGTGTGATAACGGCGGAAATAATGAATAAGTAGTAGGGATAGAGAGGAAAAGAATGCAACGTGAATGAGAAAGAAAGAAAGAAAGAAAGGAAGTTAAAATGAGAGAGAAGCAAAAAGAGAGAAGAGAGACGGGATATAGCAGCCAGCGAGTAGTAGGGAGAGGAAAATAGAGAAAAAAAAAGCGCGTATGGGTTAGAGAAAATAGAAAAGAGAAAAAGAAAGATAGGGAGAGAGACAGACAGACAGACAGACTGACAGAGACAGGGACAGACAGACCGACGGACGGACGGACTGACACACAGAGGAAAAGCAGACGAGAAAAAGAAGAAAGGGAGCAATACGAGAGAGACAGAGAGAGAGAGAGAGAGAGAGAGAGAGAGAGAGGCAGACAGACAGACAGACAGACTGACAGGGACAGACAGACAGAGGGACGGACAGACTGACACACAGAGGAAAAGCGGACGAGAAAAAGAAGAAAGGGAGCAATACGAGAGAGAGAGAGAGAGAGAGAGAGAGAGAGAGAGAGAGACAGACAGACAGACAGAGACAGACAGACAGACAGACTGAGACAGGGACAGACAGACGGACGGACAGACATACAGACAGAGAAAAAGCAGACGAGAAAAAGAAGAAACGGAGCAGTACGAGAGAGAGAGAGAGAGAGAGAGAGAGAGAGAGAGAGAGAGAGTGAAAAGAAAGAGAAAATGGGGAGGACAGAAAACGAGAAAGCAACGGTGAGAAAGAGAAAAAAGAGAGACGCGGGAAGAAAGAGAGAGAGAAAGAGAGTGACAGAGCACAGCAAGAGAAAGAAGAAATGAAAGAAGTAGGATAAGAAAGGGGAAACGATACTGAGAAAAATAGACAGAGAAAAAGAGGGGGCGGGGAGGAGAGAGAGAACGAGAGAGAGAGAGAGAACGAGAGAGAGAGAACGAGAGAGAGAGAGAGAGAACGAGAGAGAGAGAGAGAGAGAGAGAACGAGAGAGAGAGAGAACGAGAGAGAGAGAGAGAGAGAGAGAGAGAGAGAGAGAGAGAACGAGAGAGAGAGAGAGAACGAGAGAGAGAGAGAGAGAACGAGAGAGAGAGAGAGAACGAGAGAGAGAGAGAGAACGAGAGAGAGTGATAGCACGCAATCAGAGAAAGAATAAATGAGAGAAGAAGAATAAGAAAGGGGAAAAGAAAGTGAGAAAAATAGATAGAGTAAACGATGGAGGAGAGCAAGAGAGACAAAGAAAGAAAGAAAAGAGAGAAGTAAAGAGAAAGACAAACAAGGAACAGAAAATAGCTGCTGAAGAGGAAAAAAAAGAGAAAAAAAGAGACAAGGAGGAAGACAGAGTAAGAGAATGCGGACAAATAAAGCAGTGGTAAGAGTGAGAGTAAGAGAGAGAGAGAGTGAAGAGAGATAGAGGGAGAGAGAGAGTAGAAGAAGGAGGAATCTGTGTGGTGGGAGAAACAGCGTCAGTTGGAGAGAAATCGTAAATGAAATAGAGAAAAACAAAACTGTACACACGGAATTGAATAACAGTGAAACTAACAGAAAAATTCGCGCGCAATTGTCGAACATGTGCGCTGCACTTGTAAGTGTTTAACTATTCTGACGGAAGTAATCCCGTTATTACTTGCTTCATGCACAGTCAATGCAACTGCATCAACGCACTGTTCTATGCATTGGTTCACGCCTGCAATCCTATACTTGTAAGCAGGTTTTTACACGGATATTAGCGCAAATATGTATATATGATGGAATCTCCCGTTGATTTCAACGTTCAAAGTTGCAACAGTCAAGGACTAAACCACTTGACTACACATATTAAGATCATAAGACAATATTGATAAGTATTTGCCCGGCCTCCTCACGAAGGTAGCTTATGACACATGGTCATTTTTTTTTTTTTTTACGTGGGGAGCCCATATGGATATGTATGTATAAAAACTGACCTGTTTCTTCGAGCATCTTTTAGTGCAATGAGGAAGATGCCACCGCTGGGTTGGAAATCCCGGGATCGGATACTGTGGCTCATCTAAAATTCAAAACAGTTTACTCCACTTCCGGCCCAAATCGGATTTCTATGCCAGGGAAGTATTTATTTTTTACCGCGAGCACGTCACTATCGAATATGACGCCGGGTCGACGTTGAAAGCGGGTTTAATACGCAAGCCCTTAGTCCTTTATCGCACTTCCCCTTTGGCAATAAACCCAGCCCTCATCCGAATCAGGGGTATCTCCTGGTGGTGGGGTGCTTGAGCTTAATATTTAAAAAAAAAAAAAAACTTCCTCGGCATATGCCAGGAAGGGTTTTGACTATATTGGTAGTGACTTGCGTAAATCGAGTCACTCTTTTCTTCGTAAGAGCTGATAACAGAGAAATGCTATTTAAGCCATAGCTGTAAAAAAAATGACTTCATGGCTTTTCCAGGGACAAGTAAACGGTACAGAATCGACCGGAAGTGTAAATCAGTTTTTCCCTTTCCGCGCAGCTAAGAGTGACGTAACCCGCACATCTATCTATCTATCTATCTATCTATCTATCTAAGCAATTTCTTTCTTTCTTTCTTTCTTTCTTTCTTTCTTTCTTTCTATCTATCTATCTATCTATGCAATTTCTATCAATCTATCTATCTATCTATCTATCTATCTATCTATGCAATTTCTATCTAATCAGGAGGTTTATACAAATGACCTCTTAACGCTTTATTTTTAAAAAATAATGAAATCCATATTATTTAAAAAATAAATAAGCAAAATCACGACGTTGGGCGTAATAGAAAGAGGAGAGGAGGATGTGAAGAAGGATACTTGCAACCTCTGCTAGCAGGAAAAATTAGAAATTATGACATTTCCGGATCTAAAGAGCCGTTTGAACCAGAAAACTGCAGTCTTGAGTCCTTGCTTGCATATTAAGAAATTCCTCTTAAGCACATAAAAAACCATACGTTTCAATTCCCCACCAACGCCGAAATATTTATAATTTCCTTGCTTTTTTTTTTTTCCCCCTCTTCTTCTTCTTCTTTACATCCTCCACCTCCATTCTTTTACACCCAACTTCGCGCGTTTTATTTATTTTTTTAAAATATAATACAGCGTTCCTTTTTTTTTTTTTTAATGAAGCGTTAAGAAGAGTTAATTTGATAAAAATCCCCTGAGGATACCGTCAGTTTGAAACCAAGATAACGGATTCACACTGACCTCCTGATAATTAAAATTAAAAGCTCTACATGTTATTTTTACTTTTATTTTAGTTTTTTCACGCGTGTATTGAGTACTTTTTATAACACTGTTTCCTGATCTGACTGAAATCTGATCATTAACATTTTATGTATATATATATATATATATATATATAAATATATAAGTTTGCCTGGCTGCTTAAGATTATCTTAGGTTTGTCCTACTTCGTGTATTGAGCACTTTACGTAGTTGCATTTTACTCATTTTGGAAGTGTTTTTTTCTTTGAACTTTGAGTTGAAGTCTGGACGATTGTTTTCGCCTTAGTTTCATGTTCTTGGTTCTTTCTTTTTTTATTCCTCATTTTTCCTTGGGTACTTGTTTGATCTACCACAAGCCGAAATACCCAAGTTTTTCCAAGCGAGTACCACCATTTATAAACACAAGAAAAAATTTATGAACACAAGAAAAATTAATTAAAAAGCTTAATCACAGTATCTTTAACGAAACATGTATATAAGAGGGATTCTACTAGAGTATCTATCTATCTATCTATCTATCTATCTATCTATCTATCTATCTATCTATCTAATTCCTGGTTTAAATTCCTACAATGCCAAACTTTTCACATACAGATATAGATAAAACAAACAGACACTCTCTACACATCGACATCAGGAGGTGAAAAGCTAGGATAATTAATTTGATTTATGACACCCACTTATGCTCAGAGATTCCGAGGCATTTTCCTCCCATGCAGTTTTGTCTTTCTTTCATTTTAAATTGAAGACTCCAAAGAGACCATACGCTTTTCCGGCGAAAGGCATCGTTAATAAAATTGTCCACATTGTCTCATCTATCTATCTATCTATCTATCTATCTATCTATCTATCTATCTATCTATCTATCTATCTTATTGTTTTCCGTATCTATCTATCTATCTATCTATCTATCTATCTATCTATCTATCCATCTATCTATCTATCTATTTAACATGCCTATGATTTTTTTTACTATTGATCATTCGCCTCCTTTCAAGGACGGTTTACTGAATATGAGGTTGTGTGTGGTAAGTGCGTACAGGGAATGAGAAAGATGTGCAAATTATGAGGATAGGTAGAATAGATAACAGTTGACATTAGACTTGAAGAGGTTACCATTGTTTTGAATGAGGAAGCATCCTCTTGGGAGTCCGCTCTATAACGTTGGGAAAAAGTTGCCCGAGTGAAGCTTCTGTAACAGATTAATGGCAGGCTAGCGAGGTTTGCTAGAGAGAAAACAAGCCACAAGGCCGCACTGTCGAGGCTGGAAAGTGCAGTTTGAACATCTGCACACTTGTGGCAGTAATACTCCATACCCCAAGGCGGTGTAATGGTTAACAAGCTTGTCTCGCTAGCACAATTACGAATGTGTAGTGAGTTCGATCCTCACTGGGTGCCCCATATTTTCAGCCTTGTGCCATATCTAAGCTACGCTTGGAAAATTATTTTGGGGCACCTCTACGTGGCGTAATGGTTAGCAAGTTTGTCTCACTAGTACCATTAATACTGAATAGTGAGTTCGATCCTCACTGGGTGCCACATGCTTTCGGCCTTGTGTCACATCTAAGCTGCGCTTAGAAAATCATAACATCTAAGCTACACCTAGAAAACCATTTTTGGGCACCTCGAGGCAGTGTAATGGTTAGCAAGCTTGTCTTGCTAGAACAATTACGACTGAGTAGTGAGTTCGATCCTCACTGGATGCCCCATACTTGCGGCCTTGTGCCACATCTAAGCTACGCTTGGAAAATCGCTACTCCATTTTGGTTCTTATATATATCGAAGCAAGGAAGAGGGAATTGTTCGTAATATACTTAAAGTATTAGCAGCAAATTAATAAAGACTGTTGACAAACGAACATGATATCCTTAGAGCAAGAAAAAACAGGAAACAACGAAGAGAAATCATTGCTCACGGCCTGAAAAGGACATGTTCTTTATAAGAAGAACAGCCAGCCAAATATAACACAGAACATACGACGTGTAAGATGTCGACTACTAAAACTACCAATACATGACTTGGTCTCTCAGTAAAGACGAAAGTGACAGTAATTACCTTCGGTCAACCAAACCATACACCGAATATCTATTCCTCTGAACTCGTCTTGATAATTAAGTGTAAATAAATGAGTAACGTCGAAGGAGATTATTTAAATGTAATTCAGCTCTTCCACAAACTTACAAGCTTTGAAAATACGATTCTCAACAGCCACAGTTCGACCCGCAGCTAATGCAATTTACTGCTTTGGGGTCTAAAAGGACACGTACAGGCTACCCAGGTCACACCACTGCTTTGGCAGAAAGACACCTAATTAGAAGGGCAGACAAACGACTTGACATTTGGATAATCGTCTTATTTCCGAGCGCTGATCTCTGCATCGACTTCTCATGACGAGAAGAAAATCAGCTTCTTGATTGTCGAGGAATCATTTGTATCAGGACTACAATGCTAAACGGATATATTCATACACACATATACAGAGTGAGAGAGAGAGAGAGAGAGAGAGAGAGAGAGATAGCGTGAAAAAGAGAGAGAAAAAGAGTGAGAGTAAGAGAAATAGAGATGAGAGAGAGAGTTGGGGTATATATAGTATAGATCTATTATAGATTTATACTATATATACCCCAATGTATTCGTGTGTGGACAAACATCGGCGGTCGTCAATTCATCTTTTGTCAGCCGCACCCCCAACAAAATATTGTGACAAATATTCTTTTCTTTTCTCTCCAATCGATTACTAAAACTATTACTACTACTACAACTACTATTACTACTACAACTATTACTTCTACTACAACAACTATTACTACTACTGCTTCTACAACAACTACTACTACTACTACAAATATTACTACTACTACTACTACAACTATTACTACTTCTACTTCTACTACAGCTACTACTACTACTACTATAGCTACTGATACTACTACAACAACTACCAACTTGTGATAGTGACTTGCCACCTACTCGCTTAAAGTGCAATTCATATTTGATGGGCACAAATATTTAATACTGTATTTCTCCTAATACAGCCACTCAAGGTTCAGGGAATTAATAAAGTGGGAGTCTGTTCCAAAATATGACTGGTCTGGGGAAAAAAGCCGTCTTCTTGCATTTTAAAACACGGGGGAAATCCTAGTTATTAGACTCTGCGGAAGTGGCACGGCGGGTCCTCACTTTAAAATCTGAACTGATAGAACTAAAGAATGGTGACCATCTGAACGTTTGCTATGGAGGCAGTGAGAGGGTAGCGACAGGCTTGGAACTTTCCTTCTGTGGAAAAGAGGTTGCATAGTGTGAAACTATGAAACACTGGACAAAAATAAAAAGGCTCTAATTCCGACCAAGGCTGG